AAAATTCGCGCAAACTCTTGACGTCACTGACACCGACCAACAACACCCGCCTCCCCCGCTCCCTGATTGGTCGGATGGGATTCAACCTCGGAAACTGCAGCCACTAGGATCAAACCCAGACTTACAGGTAGGTAAATAATAACCGACCTGAGTTTACGGATGGTCACTCAGACAACTTAAAAACTAAAATAAAGTACAATATAATCATGACAGCGCTGAAATACCATAACTGGACGCGCTGTTTCAACTGAGGAGGGAGGTTTTCTGTGATCACTGATTATTTCTTGTCTTCCATGTGTGTGTCGGGTTCTAGAATCTACATTGTGACATTTGTGGCCAGCACAGGTGCAGGTGACGGAGGAGGAGAAGTCCCATTCGGCTGCAGTGGTAATTGGTTTGTTTGGTGAGGAATGATTAGGCTGATGTGTTAATGATTGTCGCTCTGGGCCATGCGCTCATTAAAGCACACCGCTGTCATTATGGGCTCAATTGGGCCTGAGATCACGCCCACGAAAAGAGCTCAAAGTGGGGAGAAAAACCAGCCTGTGATGATGTGCTTTTACTTCTGTGGTTTGCAAATGAAATTAACCCATGGAATATATGTGGTGAGGTGTATCAAAAGGTCCATTGAAAGCTTTGTTTTGTTTTAGTTCTGGTTTTGTTTATTATTGATAGGAACGAGTCCAAGTTATTTTTTTATCATTTGTTTTAGCCTTGAATTAGATATCAATTAATGCAGTTTAAGTCAAACCATCTTTGTGAGATTACAGATATTCATTGTTGATTTTATTTCAAACCTATGTACACACATTACACACAATAATAATAATAATAATAATAATAATAAAGAGGATTAAAATGATTGTTCACACACTGTTTGAAAAGGAGTTGGACGAAGCACACGAGTCCAGTTTCTTCCATTTAAAGCAACTTGCTAAAATAAAGTCCTCCCTTTCAAGGCAACATTTTGAAATTCAGATTCACGCTTTTGTTACGACTCGGCTGGACTATTGTAACGCCTTCTACACAGTGATAATGCTGTTTCAACTACAGTTGAACTTGATGAAATCTCACACAACAAAGAGACAAAGTTAATCTTTTACTTGTTACATTGTACAAGGAGAATGTCTGGACAGAGGCAAGGCACAGACCCTAGCCTCTCTCAGGACAAGTCTGAAGATTCACAGTCTACAAGCCCCTTTTGGTAGAGCAAGACACACCTTCGTATGCAGATGGGAAAGGAAGAAACCAACACAACAAAAGACACTTAGCATATGAGCTCCCCAGACCTCCTGGTGTCTTCCTGAAGCTGAAGTGAATTAGAATATAGAGCATTCAGCATATAGCCACATATGATTTACCAAAATGATAACTTAAGTTAGATTCCAATATCACACAGGTATCAGCCAGACCTCACCTGCTCGTCTGCAGCTGGTACAGAACGCTGCGGCGCGTCTGTCAACAGGAACTCGGAAGTATGAGCAAATCTCTCCTGTCATCCCTTCATCGGCTCCTCTTCGCTACCGGATTGATTTTAAAGTCCTTTTGTTTGTCTATAAATGTCTGAATGGCCTTGCTCCACGTTTTCTGTCTGACCTACTGACGTGATACGCTCCATCACGTTCTCTCAGGTCAGCAGATCAGGCTCTGCTCTGCCGGTTCCTCCGACTAAACCGAAACTCAGAGGTGATCAAGCTTTTTCGGTTGTTGGTTCTAAATTGGGGGCGACAGTAGCTCAGTTGGTAGAGCACTGGCCTTAAGGCCTGAAGGTTGTGGGTTCAATTCCCACCTCTACAACTTCTCCACCGACTCCCACTGATGACTGCTGTCGTTGTGTCCTTGGGCAAGACACTTAACCCCACTTTGCCCAAAAAAGCCCCCACTGTAAGATCAAGGCTGCTCAGAGAGCAGCCGTCCTCCTGTGGACTCACCACCTGCAGAGGGTCAGTGAGGGGCTGGTGCTATGAGACTTGGGTGGCATCTCTGACTGCCACCCCCCTGACCCAGAAATGGATTAAAGGGTAGAAAATGGATGGATGGATGGAGGGTCCTAAATTACGGAATGAGCTGCCCCTGTGTGTTAGTTTGTCTGAGTCACTTCCTGTTTTTAAGTCTTGTCTTATTTGTTCTCATTGGCTTTTAATTGATTTTCCATTGATCATTTTTGCTTTTTTGTCACTGTTTTGTATTTTGTAATTGTACATTTGTGTATGTATTTTTATGTACAGCACTTTGGTCAAGCTTGTTGTTTTTATTAGTGCTTTATAAATAAACTGGATTGGATTGAATTATTTGGCTCCAACCCCTCTCACTCATTTAACTAAGAGTGTTAATGTAACTATAATCCTTGCATTTTACTCTATTGATAATCCAACTATGCAGATTTATACTCTGCCACATTTGTCATTAGAAGAAGGTTGTGAATTTTTACTTTTTCTTTGGTCTTGAGGTTAAGAGAAGCTTTTTGCGTCTCCAAAGTTCACTCTGGCTGTGATTTCCGGGCTGCAGGTCTTTCTGTGATCTCACACACTCTACCCACACGTTCTTTCATTCTACTGCAGAGAAAACTGTGACCGATGTCGTTATTCTATTTCATGTATTATTTAAATGCCACAGTTATATTGATTGACGATGTTAATTAAACTTAACCTGGCAAGAGCCAGATTGATGATTGTGTAGAACTCTAACGCGTTCTCCACGATATCAATCTGGGACTTCTCCCGGAGAATCCTTTCGGGGAAAGGAGGGAAAAGCAGCAGAATACTTCAAGCTGATTGGGCGAAGTGACGCTGTGTGCCCGCCTACCAAGGTTTGACTTAAACCAATCCCGGTAACATGTTTGCCGTCCAGAAATGCACAAAGCGCCTCTCGCTGTTCATCTTTCAAAAAAGAAATTGGAGATACTGCTAAAACTGACTTGATAGCCTCAGCTACGCGTCCGTCCTCCTGCGTAGCCATGTTTGTTTTGCTTCGGCCCGGCACTTCTTGCTTTCGTCAAACCCGGATATCCCGCCCTAAACCCCCAGACTGGCGCGTGATTGGCTCGCACACCCAGTGGTTCGACTCGAAAAGTGTAAGCGGGAGCGGTACAAGATGTATTCTTGAGTGTTTGTGAACTCACAAATACCGCGAGAATTCAGCTTGCAGGCAAGGTTAAATTAAACTTCCTTTGTCAAATTTATCTTGTCTTACGTTTTGTCAAATCATGCTACAATAGTTTCTTCAAGCTCTGGCATGTATTTATTCCCATGAGGTAAATACAAACATACACAGTTGTTTGGAGAAACTAGAGTAATAAAAGCAGTCATTAAATATGACTTTGCAAGCTGCTTCCAAGGATTCAATTTTCTTGTCCATCACTTAGACTCTCTTGATTTTGGTTCTATTTCAGACCATGGCTACCAGCTTTAATAACTAACAAAGCACAGCTGATTAAAACATGTCACTCAAACATTTTCATAAAAGTATAATGACGTGGATGATGTCACGCATTGAAATCCAAACACTCTGAAGGAGCCCCTAGTGATGCTGTAGCAGACAATCTGATCTGTAAGATTGTGTTATGTTTCTTATGGCCCCTTTATTTGCCTCGCTAATGCACTCCCAGATCGCCATGCACCTTCATTTTTCATTCCTGAGCCACGGTCCTTTTATGAGGGTCAATGTCGTCTTAATAGAAAGGTCACTCACAGCTGCCCCCGGAGGTTAAAATGATAATGAAGCGCCAGGATGTCAATTATAACCCTATGATAAAAGTTTATAGCTTGTGGACGTTTGGGGGGAGCCTTTATGTTCATATAGCTGCACATGGGTACAGTGATCAAATACAGTAGGTTCACAGTGTGGTTCATATCTGACTGGCTCACAATCTTTAAACACAAGGTTCTTTATCGCACAGTAGACCTGTGTGCAATCATGATCCATGAGCTGATATGCTTACATTCAATTCAATTCAATATATTTTTGTAGAAAGCAAAGAGGAAAAGGTCCGAGGCACTCTAACTTTACGTACATATTTTTGTATCGCACTAAATCACATCAGTTGTCTCGGAGGACTTTACAAAGTTGTAGCCAGGAGGCCAAAAGGTAGAGGGGCGACCTTTGCCCATAAATGTGCAGGAATGTCCCGGATCACTACTGTCCCAGGACCGTCCTGCATCAGCAAGATACATGCACTGTCAGCAGAAAGAGCTATGCTCTCGGCTATGAACAGTTGTTAATACCCTGAGTAGCCACGATTATTGTGCGTTAGCTAGTGATGTTGTCAGCGCTAGCTGCATAATGCAAAGCACAGTGTCGTGAGCAGCACGTTGGGCAATGGTTAGCACTTGTGCCTTTCCATCCTCCAGACCTTTCTGCTTGGAGGTTGCGCATCAGTGTATAGGATTCCTCCAGGTGCTCCAGTTTCCCCTACCACAAAAAACCTGTATAAAAGGCCCTGCTGCCATGTGGGAAGTGAGAGGACACATGCCCACAACAATTTTAAGGCGCTCTGAGGCGCTATATACAAAAAATATTACGCACAGTCCATTGCTCAGTAGAAACAGTGTCAAAAATAAAAAAGTGAATCACCTTTAGTGTGGGATCATTTCCTGATGACAGACCAGCTGTAGATCCAGGACGGAGGTCAAGTCCGTTGAGTCATAGTCAGTTAGACTCGCCAAAGAGAGACAGAGGGCATCCAATCAGGGGGTCGTCTATGAGTCAGGTCCTGGGGCGATCCAGGTTGGGGAGTCGGGTTTCAGGTTGTCATCATCGCACCAGAAAACAGACAATGAGACAAGAAGTCATATTCTATGATGACGACGGGTAAAGTAAGAGAGGAGAGAAGATAGTGCTCAAGTTATCATACTTCTCTCAGCGAGGCGTCTCCACATGCAGCCTGACAGATAAACTGTATCATCACGATCAGCCGAGAAGGAGGAGACACCAAACAAATACTCACATGTCTAGAATGTGAGTCATGTTGTGTATCTTCATAGTTACACACTGCGTTGCGCATGAAGAATAGACAACAACACAATGTGCACAACAGAGCTCTCCTCCGCACCAGGATCATGGCTAATGCGCTGCGCAGTGACGTCATCATGCTGTGAGTTTCTTTCAATAGACTTACAGTATTCACTTATAAGCTTGCATGTCGTGACTTTCTGAGGTTTTGTCATCAGATATTTCCCCCATGACATCCCAACATCTTAAGACAAAAAGAGAGAAAATAAATGCTGTGATTTTCTTGCTTTTCTTACGACAACACAAGAAAGACAAGGTAATTAATTGTTATAATCAAAGTTTTCAACATTGCACAAGACTTGCACACACTTTATTTATTTATTTTTTCTTACATCAAACCAAACAGTTATTGGATGAAAATGAGTCGTATTTTACACCAATCGCACACCAGGGGGCAGACATAGAACTCCCAGGAGAAAATGTCTATCAGAAATATGATGCAGACTTGCCATCCGTGTATTTTAGGTGCTTCCACCTTTAGTTTTATCTGACAAATATATTGATATAATCTTTCCAACACACAGGCCGCGCTATACTCTGCCATTCCCCGTGATTGTGTGATTGATGAGTCTATTGATGATCCATATGGTTCATCTCCGAGGTTGTGACCCGGCGTATCGATCCAAGCCGGGACGTGCTTCTTTGATTATGCAGCTGCCACACTGTTTTGCATGAAAATATATGTAAGCGACGCCATCTTGGTTTGTGCCTGTGAATTTGTATGTGACCTTCTGTCATTGATTATAGAGCGCTTGTGCGAAGAATCTCTGAGGCATTCAGGCATCAGCAGTCCGACAAGAGCCACGAGTTAAAATGTCTGCGGCGATGATGCCAGGTTTGGACAGCCATGAAATCTGAATGACAGGTCAAAAATACCGGCAGTAAAAACAGTTTTCAAGCGCCATTGGACTGCAAGCACTTTTCAGCAAACTGCGGAGGCCTTGCAAGTGTCCAACAAAGACGTTTTGAGAGAATATAAAAAGAGCTTAATGTGTGAAGTTCATAAACAAGATCTTAAAGGTAAAGAAGTGACTTAACAGAACCTGTTGAAACTGATGGGAAATTCAAGCAGATCTGGTCGTAGATTTTTTCTGGTCCCAGAGCTGAGACCACAGGACCCAGGACCAGAGGAGCCAAGATCAGAGGAACCAGGACCCGAGGCAGAGACCAGAGGACCCAGGACCAGTGGAGCCGAGACCAGAGGAACCAGGACCAGAGGCAGAGACCAGAGGACCCAGGACCAGTGGAGCCGAGACCAGAGGAACCAGGATCAGTGGAGCCGAGACCAGAGGAACCAGGATCAGTGGAGCCGAGACCAGAGGAACCAGGACCAGAGGCAGAGACCAGAGGACGAGACCAGAGGAACCGAGACCAGAGGAGCCGAGACCAGAGGAGCCGAGACCAGAGGAACCGAGACCAGAGGAACCGAGACCAGAGGAACCGAGACCAGAGGAACCGAGACCAGAGGAACCGAGACCAGAGGAGCCGAGACCAGAGGAGCCGAGACCAGAGGAGCCGAGACCAGAGGAGCTGAGACCAGAAGACCCAGGACCAAAGGAGTGGAGATCAGAAGACACAGCTGACTATATATCAATCAATCAATGTTTATTTCTATCGCACAGTTCATACAGAATGCAACCCAAAGTGCTTCACATCGGCAACATTTAAAAGCAATTTAAGAACAATTTAAAAACATACTGTAAATATAAAATGGAAGGTAAATTGGGTGAATTTTTTTGGAAACATTTTATTTGTTTGCAACTGATCTTTAAAGGTATTTTAGGAAATTTGGAATTCATCATTATTGTTATTATTATTATTTTAATCCTCTCCCTTTGCCTAGTACTATCCTCCACTGACCCTCACTGAGATGTTTTCTTATTTGCAGCACTTCCACAGACTAAGGGACCCACTGCACATGCGCGACCAAGGACGGGGGATTGGGGCCTTTAAGTCCTTGTCATGTTCATCTTTTCCCTCGAGTGCGTTGCCAATTGGTTTGGAAAGAACGTGCACACATATTTCCAAGGTTTAGCGCACAACACCATGCATGGTGTAGTAAAACTGGAGATCAGCACTCCAACACTGTGCCACCGCCTGCAGCTACATTCTACCTTTGTTTTTTATTTTTTCCTCTTTTGTTTCTAGTTGCTGAACTGGCAAATATTCTCTGCATGCGCTTTCAGGGAATCCACAGCCTTTACTCCATTCAGACAAAAACGCACAAGTATACAGTGTGTACATCCAGAAGCCAGCTGATACTTTCTGACCTTTGATTCAGGAGGAGAGCAGAAGTTATAAGTGAAAGAAGCAAGCATTATTTTTGAGAAACATAAAAACAAATGTAGGCTATTGCTGTGTCTGTTTCCAATATGTTTTCCCCGATGTTGTTAAGCATAATTTGTTTTTGTCCCGGAGCAAATTATGTATTTGATAAAGAGATTGTTTTTTTCTTTTGGTTGTGTAACATTGTATTATCCAAGACACTGCACTTCAACACATTTATGTGAATTTACAGTCACATTTCAACACTAAAATACAGTTTTTTGCTAGTAGTTGTAGCATATTTAGTTAGCATATTTATATTACAGTGCACATTCATGGACATTGGTCAACCTTCGACAGTGGCTCAGTTGGTGGACCATTGGCCTTTGGGCCTGAAGGTCGTGGGTCCGAGCCCACCGTAAGACCTACTTCCGACTCCCAATGATGTCTGCTGTCGTTGTGTCCTTGGGCAAGACACTTAACCCCACTTTGCCTGAAGCCCCCGCTGAAAGATCAATGCTCCTGTGGACTCACCACCTGCAGGAGGATCAGTGAGGGGCTGGTGCTCTGTGTACTGGGTGCAGCTCTGACTGCCACCCCCCCGACCCAGAAACGGATTAAGGGAAAGAAAATGGATGGAAAATAGACGGATGGATGGTCAACTCCCCACAATGGACACAATCCCAGGTGTTCTATATTTGATTCTCTGATCTGTGTTGCAGATTAACAGTTTTGTTAAGTCCTCACAGATAACTACTGTTTTGATTTTGGACTATACAAGAAAACATTGACTTTGAATTTGAATTTTGAACCACTGTATTTTAGACCTCAAAAGTAAAGAAGAGAATGAGGAGTCTCTGAGTGGTTGCGTCGTGAGAGGGCAGTGTTCGATTTTAAAGAGAAAATAATCTCCCAAAACCCTGGAGTTCTTTGCTCAAATCCCACCTTCTTGTTTTATTAAGCACTTTGAGTTGCCTTGCGTATGAACTGTGCTTTACAAACACACTTGCCCTTCCTTGCCTTGCCTAACCAAGACGTCAAATGAATGCAATTGAAAAGGTAATCTGTTTTATTTATTTTTTTACCATTTATGTTTTATATTTAATTTGACTGACACAGCAGCAAGATCCACACATTGAATCCAGGATGACGCCAAGTATAAGAAAAGTATTGAGGCCAAAAACTACACAGCAAATTCCAAAGTGTTGAAATCTGAGTGTTGCTGTTTTTTCTAGGGGTACAGAGTTAACTTTACTCTAAATGAGTTATTATTCACTGAATTTCACTCAAATGAGTCTTTGATTTGAGGTTAAATTTGGGAGTAAAACCATTAAGTGTTGCCAATTTAAAGATGGTTAATGTAACTCCGTATTTTTCACTCTGAACTCTATGAGCCATGGTAACACCAGGTGAGTTAAAGCTGAGAGGCCCCGCCCCTTTAGAGCGGACAAGTGAGGATTTGGAGGCTTCAGCCATTTTACTCAACGTGACTTTGTTGGACAGTTTGTCGTCTCTCGGTGAGTAAACCTAATTACTTATTTTTTAAAGTTAACTGTGTATCTGTAACATTACTTTATACATTGCTTGAAATTACATTGTTGATTTACAATTGTTTAGCGTGTCGCTAAAGCGAATTGTGTAGCTAGCTAATTTCCGTAAGCCAAAAACTAGTTTTTGAGGATTAAATTGGTTTTGGGTTACTATGAAAAATATCCTTTCATTTAACTGTTGATGATATTGTGAGTCCTGATTTTGTTTTATTATAATTTTGTGATAAGGCTATGTTAAGTATGCGTGGCTAGCATACCGCACTTTATGTGGTGGCACATGGCCACATACCTTTTTATATTTAGTTCTAGATGTATTTAGGGGTTGTGGCGAATATAATTCATGTGATAAGACGCAGTGCGCTCACAGGTCCATCCGGAGGAGTGCTATGATTGTTCACGACAGCCTCTTAGTTATTGAAACTTTACAAATACTACATTAAAATTGTATAAATTCTGTGCAACAATTGTGACGGACCATGAATGTAAAGCATACATCAGTTCCGTGAACTTCTGTCAACTTTGAGTCCAAATTCCTCTTAAAGTGTGTATGCTGATCAATTAAACTAACATTTCTGGAATGCATGAAGGCCATGTGTCAGCGTATTTGATACCTCTTGATTTGCCATTTGTTGGTGAGCAGTCTGTTGACTTGACAAAGTAATACATATTTTTTGCTTTATGTTGTGCAGAAAATGCTGGTCAAAGTGGAGAATGGAGGCATCAAGAGATTCATCAAGAGATTCATCAAGAGATTCATCAAAGTGCCAAGAACTGAAGAACTCTTTCATTTCAATTTATTTCTAACACTAAGGTACATTTACATTTGAATGAGTAGGTAGATGATTAGATATTAATGTTAAAATAAAATAAAACACTGTATTTATGGCCAATTTATCAATCTGAATGGTGTAGTGAAAATATATCCCCTCCCCCCCCAGTAACAAATAAGTTCAGTCTGCAAAACCAACTGGAAACTGAACTCTACCTGACTGATGAAACCGACACACAAGATGATGAAGACATCTTTGATGAATTGGTCAAATCTGGGGTGAAGGATTTCAAAGCAGATTTCATGTTCCAGGTTTTGGGTAAGTCAATACATATTGTGTATGTATTTTAATGTTTTCAAATGGAAGCTCATTTATTTTTTATTTTTTAGACATTCAACTGGATGTCTTTAATGATTCCACAGCATCCTCTTCACTTGCACAACCCCAGCCTAACACAAAGTCTACATCCATCTCCCCAGTATCGCAGTATTCATATCCAGACTACCTCTCAACATCAGGCTTTGAATCAGATGCATCAAGGACTGTGAAATCAACAAAAAAGAGGAGTGGGTCCTTAAAAGAGTTGGACCGTAACGAAGCACGACAGGTATTCAACACTTAATATACAGTTTTTCTACATGTGTAAAAAAAAAAAATTGTTGCTGTTTTTTCTTTAATAGCAGGTGGAAAATGTTCTGAGGTCCCACCCAGGAGGGAAAAATATATTTAAAGAATAGGAACGCCGAAGTACTCATCCAACTGTCTTTCTTAAAGAGCTACTGGATACCTTGGACCCTACAGATGAGTCAGGTAAATTGTAAACTTTGTTAGTGCTGGTGTTGTATAGATTGTGGACATTATGGCTACTAAACATTTCAGCCATTTTAAGTTGTACTTCTTTTTTCAAGGCTGGGACAGTGATGTTGTGTCTCTCCTACTGCTCCTACATTTACTTCCACCAACCGCAGGGGGCCAAAACAAGACCAAGATGAAGGTTAGGTGTTCTGATATAATCAAAGAGCGATACACACCTGTGATTCAGTGGTTGTAGTTCAATTCGTGTGTGTGTATATATATATATATATATATATATATATATATATATTTTTTTTTTTTTGTGCAGGGGTGTAACGTAGTCCTTAAAGGTCCTTCACAGGAGCACACCAGACTCCACCCATTTAAAGGAGCTCAGTCTTTACCTGAGGAAATGGTGGCGTCCGGTGTGCTGCTGTTTGGGTAGAATAAAAACCTGCTGAGGTTATAGAGTAAACTCAAAGGTTCACAATCACAAAGGCTCTATCTAAAGAAAGAACATTTTGGAGTTCACATGAGTCTGACTCAAGAACAAATAGTGAAGTCAAGTTTTTAAAAAAAAATCGTTGATTTATATGTAGTTCTCCTTAAAATTGTGAAGGTAAAACAAAACACTAAATTTACAAACTTAATCTTCATGATCATTTTTCCTTTTTAAGGAAGGAATAAGTCTGTCAACTTTTCTTGAGACTGTGGACTGCAGACCCTTCCTCCTGTTCATTGGTGAGGATAAGAGGATCACTGGGTTCTATATCATCTTGGACCAAAAGGCCATTCCGTGTGCTGCACAGACAACTTTGGCTGCTTTTGACTCCCTCTTCAAAGCTCACTACGTCTTCAGTGTCTCATATGATGAAGCGCTCAAAGGTTTTTACACATTCAACATTGACGTTGGCGAGACAAAGGAAACACCACGAGTGAAGGAGCTGCGAACCAAACTGCTACAAGAACTGACTGAGTGAACTGTCTTTGAAGAGGAACTTCGTTTGTTTAACAATGTTTACTTGTTTTGTTTGCAAAACGCAGCACAGACAATGTTCATTTCTTCTTAATAAAAAGCCATTTTTGTTATGGCTAAAAATGGCTTTTTATTATGAAAACTTGTCTTTAGGTAAACTAGAATCTGGCCCTGCGAA